TAAGGTTTCACAATATACAATAATAGAATACAAGATAATAATATAACAATATAATAATAATAATATAACTAATAATAATATACTAATAATAACTAATAATAAACTTAATAATAAAACTAATACTACAACTCATTCTATAACAACATAAATAAGTTTGCAACATATATAGTACATATGTATGTATATACAATAGATTTTACAATATTTTATTACAAGATTTTTTATTATTTTTATCTGTCAACTCTTATTTATAATGCTTTTTTAAATTTGTAGTACAGTTATTACAAGTTAGATATATATTTTTTGTCTTTTTAATATTAGAACTACTATATATATAACAAATATTAGGATAAATTTTGGTTGAATAATATAGTTTTTTGATAGAATAAGTATATATCCAAGAGTCATTTACAAAAATACAGATAAAAAGCTCTTGAACAGGATCACTAATTATAACTTTAATATTGTCACCAGCAAAATCAGATTCAGTATCAGCATCTTCGTCTTGATCGCTTTAATTTTCTTTCTCTTGAACACTTTGACTCTCTTCTTCTTGAACACTTTGATCCTCTTCCTCTTCAGACACAACAATATCATCATTAAGATTAACACTATTCTCATAATCATTATTCTCATCATTATCATATTTAATTGAAGATTTGGCTAGTTGAGATGATGAACTATTATCATAACAGTTATTTAGAGATTTAGCTAATAATAGTACTGTTGAAGTTAATTTGATATTTTAAATGTTGTTCTACAGATATATAAGATTGTGTCTAAAGTATTTGATGGTTATTATCTGATATCTTTCTCGCACTAAATAGAAGTCATAGTTTGTGCATTCTGTGCAATTAATAGTAACTTCTATATTTTTAGCATATAATGCAGAGGAGCAAAATGGTATTATATACTTTGATTTGTTTTTTGTTTCATTTTAATAGATTTTGATTGAAATATCATTTCTTGATATGAAGGTCTATACTTTTCAGTTATTGTAGTGCTATTAATGTTCCGAGTTGGTAAATATTTTACCAATCGATTAGTTGCTAACTATAGTTGCAACTAATCAATTGTTCACATTATGTGGCATTATTAGATGATTAGCTAATCAAACCAAAGGAATTAATTTAGATTTGTCTGATTAGACAGAATTTTTCAGAATTGTACTAGTTGAATAATTAATCGATTAGTTGTTTAAATTTTTTCAAATCGACTAGTTGGAAAGTTAGCAACTAGTTGATTTTTCATTTAATGATTTGGAATACTAAGTGCTATATAGTTCTTCAAAAGACTTATAATATAAATTATCTTCTAAAATTAGATCAAAAATGCAATAGAATTGATTAAAAATCTCAAGCAAACATTGAGGTGGTTTATATATAATACAATTATTCTTTCTATATTTCTTTATTGTAAAAGAATAATGACAAGTTGTATAACAATAATTATAAAGCATTTCTTAAAAAAAAAAGAAAGCATTATTAATTATTTTTTTATTTACGTATTTAGCTACTTATTTTTTGCTTTATGTATTCTATTGTATTATCATTATAGATTCCTGTTTTGTCAATCTGATAAATTGCTTTTCAAACCATTTTTATTTCTTCATTTGACACAGCATTATATATTTCAAATGGATTATCTTTCAAATACTGCCTTTTAAATATCTTATATACAAGATTAATAGGATTTTGAATACTTTCAATAAGATTATTTTTGAATGTTAGGTTTAATTCTGCAATGTTTTTAATTTCTTTCACTGTATTTGCCTTATTTAAAAGTTTTTCATAATTATCTTCTATTTTACTACACATTAACCTCACACTTTGTAATTCTAGATTAAGTATTGATATTATGTATTCAACAGAGTTTTTCTATAAATGATATAGTAGTGTTCTTACTGCTACAAAATAATCGAAATCAAGCTCCAGAAACAAACAAATATATAATATTTGAACTCTAACAAATGTGTATTTGTGATCAGATCCACTATCTATGTAGAGACATATTATAGGTTTGCTTGTTTTTTGCTTCCAAAAAATATTATAGAGTTCTGTCATGTGTTATAAAAAGGAGGAAGGTTGGAATATTGGATCCTTTAAGCAAATATTTACTTTCTCTATATAGAAATCATCTTTAATTATTTCTGGAATGTTGCATAGCATTGTCACACTTGAAATTATCACTGTTTTAGTAAAATTATGATCACTTATTACAAATTTAGTATCTTTTCTAACTATTACTTATTTATCTCTTTTTATAGCTGCTATTAGATACCTAAGCTTTTCAACTTTTCATTGGTGTTTGTTATCAAGGAAAATAAGCATTATTATATTACAAACTTAATGCCAAATTTCTTTTCATACTGAAATAGTGCAAATGCATAATGTATATTTTGGTGATCTGTATGTAATTGCTAAGCTTGTATTATAAATTTTAATAGTAGGCGATCTGTATACTGCAAACTATTTTTTTATATATTGGGTTCTTAGATCAGAATTGTAATCTAAACCACTGTTTACTAAGAATTAGTGTATTAAGTAGACATTTTGATTCAATTTGTCAAAGTAAATTCTTTACTGAAATTGCTATAGCAAGGTATACAATTAAATTATGATAATATTCATTAACTGCAGTGACTAAATCTGAAGCTTTCTCTGCAAGATAATTTGCTACTGTGTTCCAAAATACTTTATATTGCTTTGATCCTCCTTCATTATACTTACATAAATTAATTATTATATTAGAGTTACCAAGTTCTAGAGCCAATCTTATACAAGCATCTATCTTTATTTCATTCGCATATTCAGCGACAAATATATTATTTAGGATTCCTCAAAATCAAATCTAATCAAATATTAGACTTATTTAAATTTGATTTGATTTAAAAATCTGGATTTGAAGTTGATTTGATTTAAAAAATCTGGATTTGAATTTGATTTGATTATTTGATTTTAAAATTTCAAATTAAATTAAAATTTTATCTATTTATACAAATCTTCGATTTTCTTAAAATTCTATTAAGCTAATCGATTTTGTATACTAAATAAAATATGTTCTTCTAATCAAAATATCCCTAGTTTTATAAAACCAAATTAGCGATTATCTTAATAAAATTTTGATAAAATAGTCTTTAGAACTATAACTCTTTAAATTTTAACCATTTATGAATATCTTCGAATTTCTTAAAATTTTATTAAGCTAATCGATTTTACAAATTAAATAAAATATGTTCTTCTAATAAAAATAGCTCTAGTTTTATAAAACCAAATTAGCGATTGTCTTAATAAAATTTTGAGAAAATAGTCTCTAGAGCTTATTCGCATCAAATAGCTTTCTGGCCTCTTTGTATAATTCAGAATTTGCACAGTTCAAAAATTCATAAAATAAATAAGAAATATGAAACTTTAATTTTTTAACTTTCTATAATCATGCATATTTATATACTATAACATTTTTGATAAAGCAACAATAAATTGTTTTCCTTGGTTATCTGCAAAGGTTTGTGTTGACCAATCATTTTTATAACTCTGAAACTAATTCATTATATCCAATCTTAATAATAATTTGTGTTTAGGTTTTGCAGAATATAAAAAACTAGAAACACATAATTTATAATTATATACTGCAGATTATATAAGGATATCAAAACTATTTAGAGAACTAGTAGACGGCTTTTCTTTATTTTGAAGATAATAATGAATATTTGCTTTAAATATATTGATAAATTTAATAATTTTGTATTTGGAGCTTGTCTGTATGGTTTTTGAATTCATAGATTAACTTATTTTAACATAATTAACCTTTTCAAAATTCAAGCTAATTTGTATTTTTAGATTTGATATTTCTTTACTAATATGTTAAAAAAATTCTTTGATCATTATTTTATATGAAATTGGACAAATATACTATTTATACAAAACTTTAGACCCTTGTAAACTACATATATTCACAAAAAATATTTTTTTTAAAAATATAAACTAACAAAATATAGCATTTAACTTAGATAGTTTTAAAGAACAAAGTTAGTTTCACAGAGAAATTTAAAGGTGAGGCAAAGAATAGTAATTAGATTATTTGCTAACTGATTGCAAGATGTCTTTAAAAATATCTCTTTTTATAATTTAAAAGAATCATTCTGTTATGTTGGAGTTTTGAGCTATGCAAGGATGATTTTTCATAACATTTATTTTTTTATTGTTACTTTTTACTTTATTTTTTGATTACTAACTTTTAATATGAATTTGAAGCTGCATCTAAATTTATTTCTAATTTTTATACATATTAACTTAGATTATTTTTCTTTTAGAATTTTTCTTTATTATTGACTATTGTTACAATAAATTCTAAAAGGTAGTGTATATTGTTACAGAGTGAATCATAGAGTTAATTTAGTTTATACCCAAAATTATAGTTTTATATAATATAAAGCATTTATCAGAGGCGTAACATTAGTAATTTGAGATCATTGTTGCAATAAATTCTGGAAGGTGGTGTGTATTGTTATAGAGTGAATCATAGGTTTAATTTAGTTTATATCTAAAATTATAGTTTTATATGATATAAAGTATTTACCAAAGGCATAACATTAATGATTTGATATTATTTTATTAAAAGGATTTGTCAGAGTAATTTATTCAATATATTGTGAAGTAATTATTAGAATCCTGTAGGATGTTCTTTAAGAAGAGCGAAATGCCAGAGCTTTTATAGCTTTAGTACTGTTCGAAAAAGTCAGCATGGATCAGATTCGGATTTGTGCAGATCCAAACTGTCAGATTAGGTTTGGCTCCTGAAATGTCGGATTGGGCCCAGATTGAGCGGGATTGGGCCTAATTTTAGGTCATGTCTTTATATAATCACTCTAT